GGTGCCAACACCCTATCAGATTTAATATTTATAAATTGTTTTTAATTCGTTTTAAGCTTATAATATTTTTTCTAAAATTTAGATTGATTTTTAATTCGTTTTGAATCATCAAATATAAAGCCAGTGAAATGTTTAGGCCACTTTTACTACCCAGTTTAAGTTTCCAAATAATTTTCTAGCTTTAAAACCTATTCCTCCCACATGTGTTTAAAGAATTTACTTAATTTTCACTCTACAATCCATGGAATTTAAACCCAGAAATATATAAGAAAAGAACACTCAAGGCTAATAAGCCTTATTGCATTTAATTCTGATATTTCCTGGCACGGAATCAAGTTGGTTTCACCGCATCAGAAGCACGGACCAAGTCAAATTCAATTACCATTCGTTGAGATTTCGATTTGCGGGGCTCCGCCGCGATTCCCACTGTACCTGCTCGGAGAGAAGACCTGCGTCTGTCTGTCTGTCTGTCTGCACAACCCATCCAATCCATTCCGTTCCCCTGGTCTGTTTCTTAGACTGGTAATTCTAGTCGCCTTGGCAACTTGGCGCTGCTGGTGCTGCTGCTGCTGGCGGATGTGCAAATATTTTGATTAAATTTTCTCCATGGCAACTTTCTTTCCACCGAAGCCAAGCTGCAACTGCAACTGAAGCTGCATAGCAGCAGCAGCAGCTACAACGTAGCATCATCACCAGCAGCCTCATCATCATCAGTGGCAGTGGCATCCATCTGCCAGTTTTCTGGCTCTCGGGGTTCTCAGCCATTTCCACCATTTTCCCTCGTAGCTTTTCCACCTCCCTCTCTTCCATTTTCAAACACGTTCGTTCTGCCGTTGAGTTTCCACTCCTTGAACTTGACTTATAGAGGGATATAATTCGGTTAAATTATTAGAGTGAATTTGGTATGGCATAAAAAATATAACTTTAAAATTAAACAAGACATTTTGTTAGTCAATTAATACCCATTTCTTTTTATATTAAAAAAATCAATTATAGATATTTTGAGTATGCCAAAAACATATTTCATATATTTTCTCAATATTTTCGATATCATTTCAAGCAATATCCAGCTCTAGTGCAAAGTTCAGGCAAAAGTCTAACCTGACGACTTCATTTCGATGCACTCGAGAACTGGGAACTCATTAGAAACTGAAAACTTTTCATTTTCCAGCGAATGCAAATGAATATTAAACGAGGCAGTTGCCGGTGGCTGGGGAGTTCCTTGTGGCTGCGTTTTAATAACTGTGGATTAAGTCTGCATAAATAATAATGATTATAAACTGTGAGAACCGCAGCCAGCGTGAAAATGCACAGCGATTTTGTCCCACCCCCGCTGGAAAATTCCTTTTGCCACCCACGCAAAAAGTTTCTGCATAAGAAAATGACAAATGATCGCCGGGCAAAAGTATTCAAAAAGTAGCAAGCAAGCTGAAACCGCGACAATAAACTTTTCTTTCTCTTCTCCTCGTTTTTTTCCTGCTCTTTTCCTTGGCGCAAAGAAAATGCGAAAAATTCTTGGACTTTGTGATGCGTAATTTGAGGTTCTTATAACCGATTTTCCAGCAGGAAAAGCAGCATCAACAGCAGCAGTAGTTGGTGCTATTCTTGTACGGCTTTAATTTGCAGTTAAGTGTTCGACGAATTATCTGGGCAATTATTTTCTGAAAGCTCTGATTAATGTGGGGCAGAGATAAGTTGAACTTAGGCCGAACCAAAAGCAATTTTCGAGGAACTATTTGAGTTTTTTTTCCTCTATTTCACCTGTGCTCCGCCATTCGACTTAATTGTATCTTATCTGGGCAGGCCGAGACTGAGGCACTAACTAGACTCATCAGGGAACGCACAAATTGGCCGACTCGCTTATCAGTCAATTAGCCCGGCGATAAGACGCAACACGAAGCAAAAACCCAGGTAGAAGCACAGGTGACGAGGGTGAAGTCGAGACAAGTAGCCTCCAGGGAGGGGGAAAATTAAGAGGGAAGTCTAACTGCCTGTCACCGCCACAATGGAAACACTTATCAGAGCCACCGTCACTTCCTCTCCTCGCTTTTCTATTTCTGTAATTTCAGTTCAGAAAAAAAGAAAGAAAAACCAAAAGTTTTACGGAAATGGGATACCTTTGGGCCTAAACCTAAACCGCAACTCATTAGGTTACGGACTAGAAACATTTCGAAATAGTGTGTGTAACCTGATAAGCATACATAACTAGGTTTTTTCTACGCTTAAATTACACTGGATGGCATGTTACATGCATAAATATTTATTTTTACGACTGAAATTCCACCTACAAGTGTTCTGATTCGGCCAACACAGAAATAATTGAGAGGGGGGCAATAATCTGCAGGTTTCAAAAATAGCCAGCACTTCTAAAATCGATATAATGTTTAATCAGAGAAGCCGGCTAATGAAAATAAGTGCAGTTTTTGGTGGAAAACCAATGCAGCTGAGGGAAAATGGAAATAAATGCCAGCATTAAATACGAATTGGGAATTGTACATATCCCCCAAAAACGAGAGCCATAAAATATTATGATAACCAATGACTACCAACTAGCCGCATTTCAAATTTAAAGACCAAACCCAAACCCCAATGGAATTTGAATCCGAATCCGAAAGCCAAACATTGCGCATTCGCCGCGTGGACCGCACTGAAACCAATACCGCAACGACAGACGCGTAGTTTAATTAATAAACAAATTTAAGAGGCAATTGGAAATTGCCACCTCGAATTTATAATCAGACATTCTCCGCGCACAAGCCATCAATTATAAGTTGTCGGAAATTCTATATGGCGATAAGCAACTGAAACTGACGTGTGCTTGAATCCGATAAATACGAAAATTTGGTTGCTGCGAAAATTGATGGAAAACGGCGGCAATTATCGTGTATTTTTGGCTCGTTCCGAAATAATAATTGCAAATGTCAACATGGGGTTTTTTCGGAGGTGGGGTACATCCTCCCGCTCCTCCTCCGAGCTGTCTGCCAACTTTAATCGCTCTATTTTGCCCGGACAAACTCCGGTTTTGTGTGTGAGTTGCTGTTTTTACAGCTGACTGAGGACATGACATGCTGGTAACAAGCAGCGGGGGAGGCCAGTCTCTCCCCGCTTTCCTATTGTTTTCAATTTAGATGCGCATACAACGGAAATTGCCAACATAGCATAGGGAAAATCACAGGGGGCGGGGCCTGGGGGGGGGGGGCTAGGTGGCCTGGATGGCACTTGAACCCAACGAGCCATAACAAAAGGCACACGAAGTAATTAACTTGTATTTATTGTATGCACACATAGTTGCCATCGTTGGTTTGCTGTGCAGAAAATCAGGGCTCCGGGCCGAGTGGTTACTCTCTTTCACTCTCCCCTCCCCACAGTGCCTACTCTACCTAATTGATAAGCTGGCAAGTTGGCCTGGCCCTTGATCCCAGGGTTTTCCCGGTTGTTCCCTTGGGGCTTTCCACTTGCCAGTGGCCATCATGTGCACTCGATTACTTGGGGCCATCAGAACTGCAGCGGTGGTCAAGGAGCCTTGAATGAGTTGCGATCACGGCCCCGGCTAATGTTTATTAATTTTCATTTTCCTTTACACACATTTTCCCTAATAGACTGGCCAATCGCTTGGCTGGCCAAGGCAGTGAAAAAAAAAATAATGCAAATTGCCTTGGCTACCGGGGATACACTTGAAAAGTTTGCCATAAAAACAAGGCGCCAGAACAAGCTTTAATTTTGGTTTTTAAAAATAAAATTAGAAATTTCCTTAATCAGTAACGGACTTAGCTGTATACCCAATCTTATCTAAAAATGTTTAGTTTGCGCCCGATAAAGCTTTCTCACTTTGAAAGTGACATATTTTTAAATTGGGAAAACTCCCTTTTAGCATTTTTACCTACCTAAAGTCTTAACAAATTAACCCACTTAAAAGTTGTATTTTCACTTTTATATCAACACATTTGGCTATAACATTTTACTAATTGAAATTCAGTAGGGGGAAATCTGTTAACTGGATTATGGCAAACCAAATTTCAGCGCCCAACTTTGACAGGAGTTGTTTGTTTGGCCAGGGTCAGGGATTAGGCCTGGAACTAATTCAATGGAAAACCAGTATCAAACTCAACCTCAAACGTACATTCACATAACCCACTCCGCGGCCAGTTCCCTCGCTAATTGGATTAGCATCGAAGGGTATTCAACTGCGGTTAGGCAGGCGAGGAACCACAATTTCTTGTTTTCTGCGGATGGTAGATGCGCTGCTTCAACCTGACACGCAACTTTGCTCTCTGTGGGGCAGCCACTGGGGCTCCGCACTATAAGCCACTCTATAGGGCACTGTGAGAAATCAAGCTTAAGAAATTATTATAATAAAATTTAGAGATTTATATTTGTTAATATTTTTTTATAGAATTTTTTCTAGAGCTTCTTTTATAAAATATTTCTTGTGCTAAAAATCTCTCACTCAGTGGCACTTTTTCTCCCAGTCTCCGGCATGTTGGCCTGCTTTGGACATGGACTCCACCAAACTCTCTGTCCCGTTCTGTTTCGCTGGCTTGGGGCTCAAGTGGCGTGTCCATGTCATTTACCTGGCAGCCACTCAAGTGGCTGCGGCAACGGGGCGTATGGGCGATGTGGGGGGAGCCGAGGGAGCTGTGGGATCAGTACAAAGTTCTGATGCGGTTTTGCTGCAATTATATAATATTGACATTAGTTGCATGTTGCCTGTCGCTTTATGTTTGTACCGAGGCCGAAGATTGAAAAAGCTTGCAGCTTAATTGCATCTTCAGTGGCTTCTAGACGGAGATAAAGATGCGGCGGCAACCGCTGCTTCATCAGCAGAAATCAAAAATCAATATTATCTTTAATGGCTCAATTACTTGATTTGCTTTTCAATTTAATGGGCTTAATGCCGCAAATTAATTGCACTCTCCAGCCCTTGTCCTACCGCTTAACCCATCAAGCTTCAAGCCTCCGAGACTCATGAGTATCTTTACATTTCCCATATCCATCCACAGAATCCAGCCGTGTTCTTCAAGCCGATTCACACATATCCAGGCGGCTCAGACTGACTGACTGACAGCCACAGGCGGCTGCAGACTATTGACGATATCTTCCAAGAGGACAACAGGCATATCAGGAGGAGAGAGAACGATTGGAAAGCGAGAAAAACATATCCTGCATCATAAATCATTGCCAGGCTTTGATTGATGTTGCGTATACGCAATGTGGGCCTCTAAGTGAAAGCTCAAAGAGAGAGTAAGACATTAGCACCTTCTGGGAACTAACAACATCATCATCATCATCGCCGTCGTCGTCGGCATTCAGTAGAAACCACAAATCCTACAAACCAAAGATGGCATTCATCTGGCGGCGACGTTCCACGACAATTGTGAAGCTGGTCTTCTTCCTGCTGGCCATCTGGTTCTGCATAGCCTTCCTGGTCTATACGGACGACACTCGGCGGAGAGCCTCCCAGGAGGGGGGTGGCAGTGCGGCGGCAGGCAGTGCCCTTGGCGGAGGACCAGGAGCAGGAGCAGCAGGATTGGGCGATCCCATTGCCTTGGCTCTGAGAAATGAGCCAGCGGGCGAGGACCAGGGCATCAATGGGAATGTAATCGGCGGCTCTGATGGAAGACACAAGCCTGCCCGGGACGAGGCCGACATTCCGCCCACAGTGGGCAAACACAAGGAGAACCTGGCGGAAAAACTGCGCAAGAGGGCCCAGGAACACCAGAAGGCCCAGCCCGTAGAAGGTGAGTCTTCCTTGATTTAATTGCATATTAATTGCATTTATTCTGTGTAGCGGGTGGGTCCATAATGAGTGATAATTAAAGTTAGGCAAGTCGAGAAAAACGCGAACTAAGAGTATTTAAGCTCAGGCATTTTAATGCAATTATCTTGTCCTGTTAGTGGGCCAAAATGAAGAAGAAAGTAACCTAAACAGGTCTTTAGCGCACTTCTTTCTTAGCCTAGTTAGTTGGCTGTCATTTTCTGTACAGAAAATTTGGTATTTTGTTTAAATAAAATCGTTCTTTACATTTTTAATTAGGTGATCAAATGAATTTAGTTTACCGAACTTATTATTTAAATAGTTTCTTCGATTAATATCCAAAACAATCCTTTAAAGAAATTAAATGTAAAGGGTATACTTGTTCTGATTTACCTTATTTTAATCTCGTAAAATATGTTTAAATGTAATTTATATTTACCTAATGGCCTTGCCACTTAAGATTTTCCACGCAGATTTTGCCCAACAAATATTTTATAAAGGAAACCCCAACAAAAGGCAACATTTTCCCGAAGAATTCATGCTGGTATTCCCCTCGATTCGTTACATTCTTGGCCCATTAGTGCCCAGTGCACTTTGCATATCGAAATCCCTCTGTTCTGTGTCCAACAATAAGCATTTATATTGAAATCAGTTGCACATTTATTTCCGATTCAAAGCCCCTCGGATGGCTCCGATTTTCCCCGCTTTCCATCGAGCTATTCAACTGGCGTTTTCCGCTCTTGTTATCGACGCTTGCAAATCTATTTTTCTTTATAGAGCAAAAGCAGAAGCCCCTCTTCACTCCCCTCTCTTTTGGCATCAACGAGTTGCGTTTTTTGCACTTCATTTCCACGCAATCGCTTGCAACTAATTCCCATCAATTCAATGCACACGCAAAATCCCTCCTCGCCCCCTGTGCTGATATTTTCCCTGGCATTCCTGCCACCCATTTTGCCGCAGTCTGGTTCTCGCCGTGCTTCTCGCAGTTGTTTACGGTCACACATCCTCAATCCTTGTTTGGGAGATTGCATTTTGGGTCACCAGCCCGATCCGGTGGAAGACGTTGCGAACCAAAATGGGGATAATAACACATATTGCTTTCCTGTGTTTGCCTCTTTTCCTCTACCTCCTTTCTTTGGGGCGGAAAACTTGCTGCTGCTGTCACACTTCCTTCTTTTGGCCACCGCCTTTGTGCCTTTAAGAAAATTTCTAACAAGTTTTACAACAATATCGAAGATGCCAGCGGCTAGCACCACTAACAACGCAGACAACAACTTGCAGCACTTAACAACTCGGGTTTTGCTGCCAAACAGCATTTTCAATGTCAGCAGGAGGGGAAAAAAGAGAGTCAGAGTCGAAGGGGGGGACTTGGGACTTGGCTCACAGATAGATATTCGCATTAAGCCTCGGCGGCGGCTGGCAGAAATAATGTTACTTACTAATCAAGTCAAGGCTTAGAGGAGCCGGCCCTGCGATTTTTACTCAATGGACACTTGACTGGCCGCCCAGGCAAATCAATGAAGCCAGACCGAAGCCAACCAGCCATGAATTTCAGGGGGCTCTCAGTAATGGCAATTTCAAGGGGCCTAAAGTGCACTGAACAAAAGATAATTAATCTTTTTCTTAAGCTGAAAACAAGGCTTAAGTTAAAATTACTTTATATCAAAGGGGATTTATTTTCTAAATTAATTTATAGTTTATTGAAAGATTATGATTAGAAAATGGGTTAGATGAAGATCATTTTCTCTAGATTTTTCTCTCAGTGCTGTGCCTTGTAGCTTCCTGTATGAAAGACCCTCCTTCATCTATTGCCTCGCATGTGGAACAAGCATTTAAGATTGCATCAGCATGTGGTCGGTCGGTCAGTTGGGGGAATAAAAAGGGAGAAACAAGGAGGAGGAGAAGCTGGTGGAGAGATCTAGCCTTTCTGGCAGACAATGCACGTATTTGCAATTTCGCATATCATGTTTGCATCTCTCGCTCCTCGCTGCTCCTTCATCATCATACCCTCTGTACCCGTCCCCATCATCATCATCATCATCCTTGCCATTGTCGTGGGGCAGCATCTGCTCATCAGCGTTGAGGTGGCAAAGCTACAAGTTGGTCCCCGATCCTAGGCAGTCTGTGAATCTGCAACAATCGAAGGCTTTGGAGGCTTTTGCAGCCATCGGAGGCATCAGCAGCTGCCCCATGGCGTCAAAATTGTGTGCAAGCCTACAAACGTTTACCAACACTCTAAAGGAAAAGGGCTCGCACAGGGCGACCTATTGATTTTTTAGGCACAGTGAAACTGATATGTTTATAAGGGGATATTCAGGGGATATATTAAAAATATAAAAAAATTATTTATGTATATGTCTGTGCAAGATTTCGGTATTTAACACTGAAAACAAGAATTTCTGCAGAGGTTTAAACAAATATATGATAACCTTGCCGACTCGCTTTGTTATGATAACAGAATTCATGACACAATACATTATCTTTTTATCTTTTAAGGGGCTTAAGGTTACCTCATTCTTTACTGACGTAGAAAAAGCTTTCAGCAAGTAGAAATAGATTTAGAAGGTTCTTAAGTGTCTTCGATCGTTAAGATTCTTTTAAATTATATCCAAGCCAAGCTGGTTATATTACAAATCCCATAAAATGGTTATGGAAACCCAAGCCAAACATGTTTCCACTCCGATTGCTGGTGATGAAACTCATTTCATTTAATTTTAATCTTCTGCAGACTTTCTAGACAGCAAGCCATTAAGTTTGGTTTATGGATTTAGAATACATTTAAGACTTGGGCTAGAATTTACAACTGCTTTGGCAGAGCCACAAATAGATCATCCTTTGCCAGGCTGCCAATGATTTTATTACCATTCTCTCGACGGGGGGCTACTATATGTTAGTGACCACGGTGGCATCATACTCCTCCGTTGGGGCAGTTCCTCTGGACTGTGTTCATAGCTGGTAATTAGTGTTGTTGTACTTATTGGCTTTGGCCTTGGGGCGCGTTACCACCGCCGAAATGGCTAAAATGGTAAGAGATCGGAAGAGCTGAAGTAGGGGAGAGTGGAGGCCGGAGACCGGAGACCGGAGAGAGCGTGGCTGCAACACGACGTTTATCGCGCGTTCGCATCGGGTTCTTAAGGCAACTAAGCCCCAATTCCCCCACTTTGTAAGGGCTCCATGCTATATAATGCGGTGCACTGAACGAAACCATACTTGGCTATGAATTTATATAAAAAACAACCTAAGTTACGTTTTGAAATAAATTATATAGTTATAGGAATTCAAATAACAAATAATGTAAAATGTTATATTATTTTCTTATTGATTTTTCTCTCAGTGCTTTGAAACCTGCCCTCTGGCCATGTTATCTTGATCGTTGGCCACCTTTTGCCTCCCAATCTCCTTGACTTTGCTTGTTTTTTCTTTGCCTCCTCTTCATATATGCATAATTCTTGTTTTTACAATTTAGCAGCGATAATGATTTTATATATACATGGCAATATGGTTACGCCCCCTTTGGGCCAGATTGATTTGCCTGCTTTGTCCGTCTGACGTTCTCTCTCCCCTCCTCTCTCTTTGGCTTTAATCAATGCTAATCCCAGGGCTAGATTCTCTTTTGTTGTTCGCATGTCTATTGCTATTTATCGCCCACACGCAGGATAATACATGGTATTTGGATATGAGTAAAGGACATGGGGAAAATCCCCAGACCCCCACTGGCGGAAAATCTTTCAATATTCTGCGAAATAACGGCACTTTGGCATATTATGTTACTTTTATGCGGCAAACATGATGATGAAACATGCACGCAGCCCCAACAGGCTAACAGGCAGATATGTCAGCTGCCTTCCGTTCACACACACAAAGGTATTTGTCATGTGGCCACGCCCCCCTTCTGCTTGGCAGGATACAAGCGCAGCGTACTACTCCTCCTCCTCCTTCGCCCCCATTTTCCACCTGCTGTTGCTGTCTATAACAAAACATTTATAGCTTCCTGTCACGCTCAGGCGTGTCCCTCGAGCTCTGTTCGCTGCGATTGTCTCCTTTTGTCTTCACATTGAGGCTCTCCCTCTCTCTTCCTCTCTCTCTGCCACTGCCAGGACTCGCTTCCCCCCTCTTCCTCTTGTGCCAGATGCCAGCAAATGGAAATATAACGCATACGCAGCGTTGAAACTTGACAAATATTGTCAATTTCGATTTCCTAAATGCACAAAAGTTGGAAGGTGAATCGATACGAAAGTTGAGAGGAAAAAGTTGACAGCTGAATGATCAATTTTCACTTAAGTTGATTATGTTTTTGGAACTACTGAAGAATATAAAATAAAATACAGGAATCTTTGGGTATTGAAAGATATTTTTAAGATAATTTTCCATGGAAAACTGGCTTAACAACTTGTTCAGTTTAATCTCTAATAAAAGTAAGCCTAAGGCTATATATTATCCAAATATTAAACCATTGAGGATAAAAATAAACACAATTTCAGCCGCATAAAAATATCATTCAATCATTTAATCAGATAATAAATCTATTTACAGTATATTTTGTATACAAAAGCTGGATTTAATTGAATCATTAATTACATTTTAAACTCTTTAAAATAAATATAAATTCCGATTTTAGAGGACTGCAAATAAGTTACTCCCATGGCGGGAATTATCGGGGATTTATAGCGTTTCCACATAATGTACAACTTTGTTGGGCTCACCTTTGTCCAAAAGGGCGTGACCATAATTGGGTTACCTCGAGTGGAACTCCTCGGGATGGGGAGCAGGAGGAATGGCGATAAAAGGGAAGCGAGAGCGGAGCATCGCCGCTGGGCGGAATCATTAATATCGAAAGAGGCCATAAATATGCTACAGTGAATCAATAAAAGACATAAAATCCAGTTACAGACCCCGTCCTACCCGCCCTTTATTTATTCTTTTTTTATTGTTTTTTATTATGATGATGCGTGTGCAGGCCCAGCATGCAAAAAAGTTCATTACGAATGGGGTGTGGGCTTGGGGTTTTAAGGACGCAGGACTAGGCGCATCTAGGGATGCCAGGAGAGAGGATGGAGAACCGAAAACTCGACTTGGCACACGCTTGAATATTCCGCAATGAAGTTGTAACTACGGCAACCGGCGACAAATCATAAAATTTATGAGTTCCCCAGTCGCTGCCCCCCCTCTCTGCTCTTTCAAGGCGCCGCCTCTGGACAATTTAATGGTTTTTCTCTTATTTTCCATTTTTGTGCGAACAAATTTATTGTCGGCTGATTGGCCTCTTGGTTAGGCTCCTCTTCCCCGTCCGGGTTAACATAATGCGGTTGGAATCCCCTCTCCCCTCCTGTGGGACATTCCACTCATCCTGCTTATTTCCTAGCCTTTTATGGCTTTTTATTTTGCCAGCCAGCTTTTTATGCTTATTGAAATTGAAATGATTGTGGTAATTGAAATGTTTTTGCATGGCTGCAAGTTGACCAAATGGAATGGGAATGAGGACAGAAATATGCTTCCCAATTTGGAAAAGGAATGAGGCGAGCGGAAGGTTTTAGTTAGTGCGATTTGCAAAAAAAAAAAAAGAGAGAGATGAGATGAAAGAAGCCAGTTAATAAAGCCGAAGCCCTTAAGTTTTTTATGGACTTTTAATTGAACCGGTTTAGTTTGAGAAGTTATATTTCAAAACTTTAAAAGAATCAAAGCTGTCAATCTAAAAAGGTTTTAGAAAAGAGGTTTTCTTTGATTTTTAATAGTAAGCTTAATGGGAAAGAATAAACTATTAACTCATTTGAGGTCTTTTGTTTCAAAGTTAAAGAAATGTTTTTAATTTTCTGTAGAAAATCCCTTCATCCACAGGAGCTTATCCAGTATTTGCTACTAAATTCGATTTCCTTTGAACATTTTAAAATAATTTTCCTTTTAATCTCTCTTAATCCCAATGAAATTAGGAAACCTCTACCTCAAGTTGATGAAACACTTTTAATTAAATTCCTAATCCCCCTAAGCGCAGACTCAGGTTGTGTTTGCATGTCATTTCTCAAGAAATTTCCATTAATGTTGTCCCGTTTTTGAAAGGACAACGAACACAGATCTCCCCGACAGACAGACTGGCACTCAGGCGATGCCCAATAAGTGTCACTTGTGGCTGACAAATCGCATAAAAAGCAGGAGCAGAAACACAGAGAAAGAGAGAGAGACGAGTATATAGGGGAGACAGCAGCTGAGAGAACAGGAGAATTCATATTTCCATGCAAATGCAAATAACAAAATAATAAAATGCACAGCACAGCAAGGACACAAGGACATAGCACATGTGTGTGCTTGTGAGGGGTGAGAAAATGGGGAAAATAGGAGCATAGGAGAAGGAAATTTGCAAGGCAAACGATTTTTCATGACCCTGTGAAGAGCAGCATCTCTGACGATGGCAACTTTTCATGTGCAATGTGCAAAGAACTGAGCTCTGAGGGGGGAAGGGTATATTTGTGTGTATTTTGTCGTAAATTTCACGCACAACAAAGCTTTATCTTCATTGCACTCACCTTTGGCTCACAATTTCGAGGCAAATATAAAGTAATGTCGACGCTTACTTACAATTTTCCATTTTCTCTCTGCTTTTCACCCAGATGATAAAAAAGTGATTGATCCACCGAGCGACTTGGAGGACAATCCCGGCGAAATGGGCAAGCCGGTGAAGCTGCCCAAGGAAATGTCCGAGGATATGAAGAAGGCTGTGGACGATGGCTGGACCAAGAACGCCTTCAATCAGTATGTTTCTGATCTGATCTCGGTGCATCGATCGCTGCCAGATCCAAGGGATGCCTGGTGCAAGGACTCGGCGCAATATAGAACCGATCTGCCCAAGACCGATGTCATTATCTGTTTCCACAACGAAGCCTGGACGGTGCTCCTGCGAACCGTGCACTCGGTGTTGGACAGATCACCGGAGCATTTGATTGGCAAGATTATACTCGTGGACGACTACAGCGATATGCGTGAGTTTTACTTTGAATTTATCCAGATTTTCACCCTATTTTAATATACATAATCTGAACCCTTTACAGCTCACTTGAAGAAGCAATTGGAGGATTACTTTAAGCCCTATCCCAAGGTCCAGATTCTCAGAGGCCAGAAGCGAGAGGGCCTGATCAGAGCCCGAATTTTGGGGGCCAATCATGCCAAGTCCGCGGTACTTACCTACTTGGACTCCCATTGCGAGTGCACGGAAGGTGAGTTAAATATGCAAAATGCCCAAAAGTATACCAAACTTTTTTCGGCTGGAAACTCGGCTTTCAATTTGCCATATCGACCATATGCTAATTTGGCAAATAAAGCTGCAAATTCGCTCTTAATTGACTTACCAACTTTTGTTAGGTCACTTTCCGGGGAGGCTTTCATAAAAAATTCAGGCAAAAATGAATATTTTAATTTATGCCAGCAACGATAAACCGAAATCAAATGGCAGATTTTAATGCCGCCATAGAACCGAGATTTTCCCCAAAAACTGGGACTCTTGTATCTCGTTTATGGTCGAGTGTAATGTTCTCGGCGATACTCAATTTTGATGGCCATCAAAGCAAATCCGTTGGGCCGAATACGATGCCAATAAAACAAGGAGCGAGCCCTAGAAAAATCACTTAATCTGCGGCATTAGGCCCAGTCTGTTTCTGTTTCTGATTCGGTTTCCTCTCGGTACTGTTTCTCATTTTTCTCCCTTTATTAAGCCGGCGAAGCTGGCGATAAGTAAACTTACGAAAAAGGCAATCAATTCAGTTTATTGAGAAACTTGGCAAAAAGTATACAAAAGTAAAGTCAAGGAGGAAGCAAACTTTAGTGACTGATGAGTTACTGGAGAAGAAATTTAATAATTCAACTAAAGCTGTAGATGAATATTTGTAAAGGTTTTAAGTTATTAAATCAAACTTGGGTTCTTTAGGAAATTTTTTGTAGGAAAAGACTATTTTCAAGCATCAAATTTCGAGTATGTCCTGGATATTCAACGTTGTATTCAATTACAGGCTGGCTGGAACCGCTGTTGGATCGAATTGCTCGCAATTCCACAACCGTTGTGTGTCCCGTGATAGATGTCATCAGCGATGAGACCCTGGAGTATCACTATCGGGACTCCAGTGGCGTTAATGTGGGAGGCTTTGACTGGAATCTGCAGTTCAGCTGGCATCCTGTGCCCGAACGTGAAAGGAAGCGCCATAATGTAAGTCCATTTTAATAATTTTTCAAGGCAAACTCAACTCAAACCCCAAAAGTTAAGGTTCCGTGTTCTGCGGTTAACTTAAGCACGCCCGGTCGGGGTATTTATCCCCACTTGTGCCTGTGTTTGTGTGTGTTAACTTAACTTTAGTTATGTTTGTTTAACGCCGCGGTTACCATGGCTATATGCCATCCCGTGACTTTGGTTTGTAACCCCATTTGGAGGTTTTTCCCCATTGGAACGCCGAGAACATGAAGCCGCTTAAAGCGCCTGAACGTGACTACAGAAACGGAATGTTTGCCGTGAAAAGGGAATGTGCGCGCCTGTCAATACAAACACACACACACACACACATTTGGGAGGAGTTTTCCGGGGGAAGGAACCATCAGGGAGCGAGCCAAACACTCGTTCTCACGTACAGGCCACAAAAGTGTCGTTCGCAGTATGAGCTATTAGAACTAAGAGTCGTTTCCCGCGCTGCGATGAGCTTGCAAATTTATGCTCAAGTTGGGAGGAAGTTAAAGCCAAAGTTATGGCCTTGGTTAGTTATATGGCCAGATAGTCCAGGAGCCTCAGGGATATTCAGAATATCTAAAGAGGTATAAAAAACACAGATACTTAAGTTTTATATTGGGAAAAGATGGTATTGAATGGGATTTTTAGATGAGCTTGGTAACATAATCGATAGAAAAGGAAGGAAGCAATATATATACACTTAATTTCAGTTAAGCATTTGTTTTAAACACAGGATTTGAAAAGCTTTTCCTCCTGTTAAGTAAAAGTTGAAATTATCTACCCACACTCCTCAACTATACACTTAATCCTGCCAACACGTTTTGTAGTTTTATGACCGCCTGTGCTCAACACGTAAAAACTTTTCCCATACACTGACAAGCAATTTGATACTCCCGCACACACACACACACGTGCCCCATAAGAGGGGGGATGGAAAAGAGTTTTCCGGCGTGAAAAGCGTGTGGAGAAGCAGAGACAAAGAGACAGGCAGGCTCCGCAAATGGACATTCGAGACTGTCGATGGGTTTTCCAATCCGCCGACAGCTGCTGGGAAAACTACTCCTTAGCTGAACCATTTCCCGATTTTCACCTAGAACTCCTTCTGCTGGCTGTAAATGCCATCGAGTCCTCTTCAATTTCACTATTTGTTTTACGTTTTAATTAAAAGTTCATAATTACACCGTTCTCTGGGCGATTCTGGTGTGAATTGCCTTAAATCGGGCACATTTATTACACATGCGATATATTACGTATACGCCACGAATGGCAAATGGCTGAGGCGAAGTGGAAGCACAGAAAATGCAGAAAAGCGGGCCCTGACACTGCAATTAAAAGCCAAAAATGTTAACAGCACATTTTCGCCGGGTGCTTGGGTTTCTGTTGCAGTTGCCGTTGCTCTGCTGTTGCATCGCCTTTTTGCGGCGTAAATATCTGGCATAATTGTTTTTACAAGCGCCAAGGGGATTTATGGCAGCACTCTTGCCGAAAAATCCCCGCTAAAGGCCGCACGGCCGCTGCAAATTGTTGCCGGTTCCTGGCAACATGCGGCGCGGCGTGGTAAATCCTGGCTCCCAAAGCCTGTCTCCATCCTTGCGTCGCCTCAAGTTGCACTTAGCAGCTAAATCAAGTAAAGCATTTCCTCCCTGCAACAACATTGGCAATTTGCCGACTCGAAAGGCGGAAGCCAACTGCTGCTGGAGCCCATAAATGTAGCTATTCCCCGTCACACACATGGGTGTATGCGTGGTGGGAACAGATAATGGCCGACGCGGAGAATTTTCCGTTTTTCCCTCGTTCTCGGCAAAGTCCCTTAGCGAAATTGTGTAAAGTTTTTGCTGAAAATTGAAAGGGCTGTGCGAAGGAAATATGTTTAAGGAGTTGCAGAACTGTAGATTTAAGAGGAAGTTACTTCGGTTGTGATTTTGTGAAATGAGTATCAACTTTGTAAAGTATTAACTATTGTTATCTAATTAAAGTGGTTTCCTAATTAAAGGTTGGCTACCTGCTGTGCACAAAGATTGGTTGTCTCCCCTCATAACTAGGCAACCGATTAGTAATTTCTAATATCTGTTTGAGTTATGCCATGTGCCAGGTGGCATAAACAAAGCTCCACAGTCTGCGACAAGCTCAAGTATATATGCTCATCCCCCTTTCGGGGATTTTCAGCTGCCGGGCACAGCTGTTGACAGTCCCAAAGCTGCCTGAACGAAAATCCGCCCGGCAACTTCTGATGTCTGTCCAAAGTTGCTTAACTTGTTACGAGTTGGCAGCAGCAGCAGCAGCAACAGCAACAGCAGCAACAATAATACTCCTAGCTGGGGGAATCAAAAATACATATTCGTTATGGGCAATGCCATTTCCCCTGCACTCGAAAGTTGCTACTTCAGCTTTTGTTTGTATTTCCTTGGTGGATGCCACTGCTCCAAGGTAAAAGTTGTGTGCTCCTTTCAGCCCGGGATACATTTATTTTTATTTTCCTGCAAAAAATAATTCTGAAAATGCAGAAGCTGAGGGATTCGGGCTAATGGCTTTGCAACTGCCAGGCAGCTTCTGCCTTTACCCTCGGCGAATCAATCAAATCGAGTTTTGAAAAGAGAAAAATCCGTTAAGCAAATCTTTGACAGAGAATCATTTTAAACAACTTAATTCTACTTTGAAAAGTTTGCTTTTTGTTGCCTTTTTTCTGGGCTTTCCTTTACACTTATCCCAGGGAAGGTAATATGAAAAATTTAAATATTAAAGAAACCCCAGCAAAATAACATAAAACCGAATTTGTTTCGTTTGCACAGCACATACCGCAGGCTACAAAAATATAAATATATATATTAACGTGTGTGTGTGTGTGGCAAAGCAGTGAAAACTAATCCCCGCAAAGAGGAAAAAAATCTCGAATAAAACTACGAGCACAAACAAATTCATACAGAGCACAGATCCCTGCGGGCTGACTGCGGTGGTTGGGGAATATTTGCCTGCTGTGCTGGGCGTTGAAACACTAATCCAATTATTTGAGTATAAAAAGTAGCAGCAGCAGTAGCAGCGACTAAGGCACGAAATTATTCGATAGCGGCGGACAGGGCGTATGCGCAATATGCACGCTCCAGCAGCCAAAGGCACACACGCACGCAGCACTCATACGCAATGTTGGCCAAAGCGTTTAACTATACATAGAGAGGCCAAATATACATAACGAAGAGTGCCTGAAGTGCCAAATCCCCGCAGCACGAGCTTCCCTTTCCCTGCCCCGAAGCATCCTCAAATGGAATACCCTTGTTTGAGGAGAAATGAAAACGAAATACAGTCAAACTTTGTTAAAAGCGACTCAAGTTGAGATTCTCTTTAGCTTAATAGAAATTGATTAGCCTGGGTGTTGAGGGTTCTCTTGGCTAATTGTTGTTTAGGCTTTACTTCGAGGGAATACTACATATTGCTTATGTTTGTTAATTTGTTAAATTATGAATTATTATTCATATAATAAGACTTTTATGGAGCTTTATAGAAGCGCTGAACTATTTACTACTCAAACGTTTCTGGAAACCCAAAATATAAATAAATTTTATATTTTCCGGCATTGTTCAAGTTTGCTTCAAGGAAGTTCAACTGTAAACAGAAAATTGTGGGCAAAGTTTACCTTTAAAAATTGTTTAGGCTGTCGTCGTTGCTCGTCGGATCCTATTCCAACCTGGCATATATATATATATGCACATATATATGTGTGCCTGTGTAATGGGGCCTGTGGATAGGTAAATGCTTTCTAATATCCTTGGAGAAGGGGCAAATAGAGGCGAAGAACCCATACAGATAGAGCCGCTCTCATCCCGGCCATTGCACGTTTCATTTCACTTCTTTCGCAGCCGCTTTATTCCATTCGGATTGCCTGTGCGTACACCACGTTGTTGTTCCCTTCGAGGGCCTTTTTATGCCTTTGTCTGGCATTTGTTGTAGTTGTGAAATCGTGCATAACACTGGGTTTTTCCTATAGCCAGAATAGAACTGAACGTTCTGGAGCTCGATACTCGTGTGCTGCGTATGCGAAATTTTCAACGTTTTCGCTCGAATGACAAATGTTGAGCAGTCAATTCGTTGCTTTCGTTGCCGGCTTTTTGGGCTTCCAGCCACTCTGGTCTGAACGTATTTTCTGTCAAAGTCAATTGGATTTCGCCTATTCATCAGAGCACGAAGCCCGAGGCTCAGCAGTCACAGCGAAAGCTTAAATATTCCCGCGGGAAAGGCAGCGATTGTGTGTTATTCATGAAGACAGGGGAGTCGGAAAATTAATGTCGAACATGTATGGCAATCGATTTATAAGAGAAAACAAATGGGAAACCCAGGGAATTTTGTCGAATATTTATATGAATTTATATAATGTGCGAAGCTCTTGAAATTCTGAACAAAAAACCAAAGCCAAAGATGAGGGAAACTAAGATTTATTAAGGTACAAAAGTAACTCTGTTAAGGCTTATAAAAAAAGAAGGAAACCCTAGGGATACTTTAGTATTGATTCTCTAGCCATATATCCTTCCATTTTCATGAGCTTCTGTACAATAATCACCCTGCCATTAAGACCAATTAGCCCAATAACTTTTCTTTAACGTCCAATCAAGCTCAATTTCCACCATTAATTCAAGCAATTATTTTGAGACATGTTCTAAGCTCCTTTCTTTATGACATTACAAAAATGTTAAGGACAAATAATTCCGTGACAAAGCATAACGTTTCACATGGTCAATAAACAGAAGTCAGATAGGTGTCCACTTAGTTGGTCAGACGATACTTGACAGCCCTCAGGATGGGGTACTTCTCGTTGGTGCAGAGTCCTCGGAAGTCGTCGTAGGACAGGTCGAAGAGAGCCACTCCTCCGAGGTTGTTCTGACGCACATAACCCGCCTTGTCGGCAGCGGTATCGGGATCCTCGAAGCTCACCCAGATGCCATTGTCACCCTTCTTGTCGGCTGCCCTGTAGGCATAAGATCCGAAACGCTTGGCGGGAT